GAAAAGCACAGAGGTGCCAGTTTTGCCACCTACGTGCTCTAACTGCGATAATCGCACACATCTCGAGTAAGAAAGTGCGCCGGTATCCGATGGAACACGCAGCGTGGATGAGACAAGTTGGTCCCCACGAAGAGTAGTTTTTTTTTCATTGCAGATTAAAGTGCGAAAACTAGTTCGATTGGAGCAATTCGAAGGATCTGCAAAAATGGATGACTTTGCGTGAGGCATGGGTACCAGAAGAGCATAATTGTTGATATTTTGCAGTGACTAATGCGGAAGAGAATGTAGTATCGCGTGGTGGTCTGATCTGGTTTTTCGCGTGGCTAATTTTAGCGAAGATTGCAAATCAGGTCGTGATTCCAGAATTGTTTGCTTAGGAAATGAATTCTACCTAATTCAGTTGCCATAAGGAAATGTGGAAAAATATAATTTTGATATTAATATTAAAATTGTCAGTTGGCCACTATTTATCACTATCGCTACGGTTACAAAATCGAACGTCGGTGGACATGAGTGTTTTACGCAAAATTCACTCTAGTCGTCGATTTCACTGTCCTTCCGAAACGTCCAGACGTGGGAAAAGTTCAAAAATCCTCGAGAAGAAAGTGAAACTTCAACTCGTGGATACGACAAACATTCAGCAACACAATCTTCGTAACTGTGTGGAAATCGAGACAATCAAAATTGAAACCGCTTTACGCTATGAAAGGGTAAATCACAACAACAACATAACAAGGAATTCAATATTCTTCTGTACATTGAGAGTGAGGCCGTGACTGTGCGCGTGCTTGACCTTCTTTCTCACACGCTGCATTTGACCGTCATCAACTTCATGAGGCAGTATGGAGTTATCACACTGGAGGAAGTAGGGGAATTTACGTATTCTCGGCAAGCTAAGCAGTGACCTTCTTTCTATAGCCTTTTTCTCTAAGGAACGCACACATATGCAGTATTGGTTTGTTTACAATCTTTTGCTGCCACCTGCTCTAACAATTTCAGTCGAAAGAATTGTCAAAAATTGTTTTGAAACGCTTTTACAAAGCTCCAATCTTCTCTAGTGAGAGCGAGTATTGTCGGCAACCAGTTTTTCTTCGGCAACCGTTCCATTTGAACTGCATGTAAATCAGCTGCTCTATTATCGGCAGCTCGAAATCAGCTACAATTTGTAGTGCGTGTGTTGCATTTCAAGAAAACCTTGCTAGATTGCTTTTTCTCAGTGGTAAAAATATAGTCAGATTGAAGCTGAAAACATAAAGAATCGTTTGCATGCATTCAGCGAAGTGTTTTCGTAAGAAAATCCAGTGAAAATAGTGTTTCAATTTAGGTTGCCGAAAATAGTCTGTCATGCCGAAGCCGTCATTTCTCCTATCATTTTGCGAAAATCTACAATGGTGTACGAGTCCTTCGGATGATGCTTAGCCGCCCCATTCCGGCATGTGTGACCATCGACGGTGAAACAACGCTGTTGAAATACCGAATGATGCCTAAAACATGTCCTCACTGCGGCAAAGTATGCGAAGACTCCGAAAACAGCTAGTTGAACCAAAACACCACCACAAGCAGCACCCAGCGGATCGAGTTTCATCAGCATCTGAAGAAGAGAAATCGAATCTGGAGCGGGGAGTCCAGAAATCAAAGTGCAACAGAACAAAAACAACAACTTAAAGAACACAACCGCGATACCTTGGCGATGACTGCGATGATGATAGTGACAATGATGATGCCAATGACGGTAATGATAGCTCGGATACCAACGATTTCATCGAAGCTACCAATAAAAAGCGACGGATCTTAAGAAGAATATTGAGGTAGAAGGCAAATGAAATGAAGAAAATATGTTTAAGCCAGGGCTGTACATCGATTGAAGTCGTACTTCGGGTCAGGCTCCGTTAAAAACCGGAGAAGTCAGATTTGACATTCATCAACAGAGTCACTTCCGTCGCTGTGTGAGTATTCTGGAGTTAAAGAATTGAAGGAGATTTATTCGACGACTCTTGCAGCGAACGGACGCGTGTGGATTATCATGGAGAGCAGTGTTGGGAAAATATCAAAAAAACAAATCTCACCAACGCCCAAGATCACGCTTAATTTTCGTAGACAAAAATCAACAAGCAAGCAACTGTGGTTGATTTTGCAAGCTGTGATATCGCAGCTAGGAATATCAAGCTAACAAAACTCACCAACTGCAAATCTCACCAAACTGTGGTGAGATTGAGTTTAATGATTTTTGCTTTGCACCCGAATGCAACAAAAACTTCCATAACGGCTTGCAGCAGTCCCTTCGCGTCTGCAATCGGTGAAGATTAAAAAGAGATAGCAAACTATGTTTTCTCTTTCTAAGAAAACGATGTGCAATAGAATCATTTTTGTATCGAGTCAACTCTCAGCTTGATGTTTGCACGTTGTGAATAGTCTCGCAATATCAAAGGAGCTTGTAAAATCAATATCAAGCATGATATTTTGTTCCAATATCACGTGTGATATTGCGAGCCCATGAGAGCGGAAAAATATCAATTGATTCCTGATTTTGCCAACACTGATGGAGAGTTACCGCAATGGCGCAGATTCTCCCAAAAGGTAAGTAAAGAGAACGGGAAAGGGTGAAATTTGAGTGCAGTGATTGTAAAATTGTTCAGAAGAAACACTACAATTTAATTGAGAACCGAATATTAAAAAGTGAGAAGAGAGTAAAAGTGTAGGTGAATTTTTTTGGAAAATTTGGTCATCTTGGAATTATAAAAAATGGTAAAATCGGGATTTTATTTACCGACGGAAGGGCGGTAAGGATAGATAATTTTTCGAATGTTTCTGAATAGGATAGGTGGATAAAAGAAATGTTTGTGTATTCTTCGACGGACTGGCGAAGATGTTAGGCTTTGATGACTGTACACTGAATTTGAATATTTTAATTTCATTCATGAAACTAAACCTGTGTTTAACTGTCGATTGTAGAGAGTCACAACCAAAGAAAAAAAGGCAAAGACGGCCGATCCTCAAGTGAATACCCGAAAGGCAGACAAAATGAAGACTTTGGAAAAGGAGCTGGAAGAGGAGAAGGCTCGTGCTACAGCATTGGCAGAAGTATTGCAGAAGGAACGGACAGAGAAGGCAGTTTTTCAATTAAGCGTGGAAGCTATGCAATCAGCAAACAACGTCACGGACGAAGGCAGTGTCGACTTTGATAGAGCACCAAGGCCCTGAAGTACGCGAAGAGTTGAACCTTCAGTCAGCTTCATCCACTTGCGGAGGATGAAGAGATAAACAGGCACTCGTATGAAATGTGGAAGGACCTTCTTGTTGACTCCATGAGGATGAGCAGACAAAATTCATCCTATTCAGGATCAAAGCTGGACCACGCCTGGTAAGAATCTATAACAATACAACATCAGCGGATAATGCACTCGATTCGAACACCAGTCATTTCTCGAATGCGGTACACCGATTGAAGTCGTACCTCGAGTCAGGCTCCAACATTAAGTTGCAAAGGAGAAAGCTTGCGTTGATGACGCAAAAACCGTTTTTTTTTTCTTTGGATTTGTCTTTTCAGACAGGCTAAGACCACGTATTTGATATTAGTCAACAGAGTCGTCTCTGTCGCTAGGCTGTGTGAGTATTCTGGAGGTAAGGAATTGGAGGAGATAATTGGAACTGTTGCTGGTCATGCGCAAAATCGAGAGGTGCGCAAAGCAACTCTGAAAATTCTTAATCGTGAAGGTTCCAGGAGACCATACAGAACAACAAAGATTACCACAACCAAAAGCACGGCTCAACGGAACCGGCATTGCTATCCCCGATTAGAGTGGATTTCCCACAGGATCCAGTTCTTCGGAATAGATTCCATCCATATCACGAAAAACGGAGCCCCTCGGCTATCTTGTGGCCGTGCATTTGGCAATGATTCTCGATTTGAACAACGCCGTAATGCGAGAAGTGGGGAAGTTGAATAGCGACGAATGAATTCTAATCGACCACGTGAAGGAAGATGCTGGAGATGTGGAAGCGCATTCCACTCTCCATTCGACTGTCTGGCTTTTATAAAGTCGTGCCGGAACTAATAAAGGTTAGTACACTCATGGGGGCCTCCCTTAGCTCAGTCGGTGAAGGCGCAGCGCAGCAAGACCATGCTGGAGGTGGCTGGGTTCAATTCCCGGTCCGGTCTAGAAATTTTTCGGGTTGGAAAATTTCTCGACTTCCCTGGGCATATAAGTATGATTGGACTTGCCACACAATTATACCAATGCAAAAATGGTACAGTCATCGAAAGCTCTCAATAAATAACTGTGGAAGTGCATCAAGAACACTAAGTTGAGAGCACGCAATAAGCTAATATGCCATATGCAATAAGCTTAAAAATCGAAGAAGAAGAAGAAGACACTCATGCACTTCTTATACTCCCAGCGCTAGCTGGCGTTGCTACATCGCTGATCTTCTCTCCATTAACGCTGCAGCTCCGACATAATCTGCGTGACTGCTCTGTTGACGGCATTCCAAGTTCTCTCCTCTCGACACATTTCATCGACGAAATTCCAACGTTAAGGTTCAATTTACTTTGATGCATTTTTAAAAAATTCAAAAGCAGTTTTTTTCGACGCATTATTTTAGATTGCAAAAAGCTCGCGTCATTTTGTGTAAAATATCAAAAGGAATCGAATAGTGCGAGCTTTTTGCAATCTGAAATAATGCGTCGGAAAAAACTGCTTTTGAATTTTTCAAAAAGCATCAAAGTAAATTGAACCTTAAGGACGGGCATCTCCCTTCGCACTAGCTCGAACCTTGGACATTCGAAAACCACATGCTCCGGCGTTTCGACCACGTTGCCACACTTCGGACAGAGGGGAGACGCTGCGTTCCCGAACCGATGTAGGTATTTTTCCTGAAGCAGCCGTGGCCAGACAAGAGCTGCGTTAGGTGGAAGTTTTCTGTTCACCCAGGTCGAAAGAATCGGTATTAGTCTATGTGTCCATCTATCGTTCCTCGCCTTATCCCACTCCTGTTGCCATTTAGCCAACGACTCTCATATCTTTCTGTACTCTTGCGGCTTCTTTCCGCCTGTAGCACTCGCTACCCTCCGCTAGGGTGATGCCGATAGGGATCATTCCGGTAATAAAGCATACTTCTTCCAACGAGATGGTTCTGTATGCACTCACAACTCGCATGGCCATGAGCCGAAAGGTGCTGCTCAATTTCCTTTCCTTCTGCTTAGTTTTCAGCGCTGTAACCCAGGCTGGATCTCCATGACTCAGTATCGACGACGACACACTGGCCAGAAAACTCCTCTTGCTACTGCTGGGACTAGAGTTGTTTGGCATGATTCTAGCTATCGCGTTGATGGCCTTCAAAGCTTCTCACAGACATATTCGACGTGGCTGTTGAAGTTTAACTGGTCATAGATCATCACTGACAGGTATTTCAACACGCGTTTTGAGGCTATGGCGTGCTCCTCGACGGTGATTTCTGGACGCTGCACCACTTTACAGTTACTGACTAATAACACTTCCGTTTGTGGTGAGCTATCTGCAGCTTCGCTCCTTGCATCCAGTTACCAATCATGTCAATCGCCTCGGTTGCAAACATTTACACTTCTTCCAGCGTCTCGTCTGTTACCGTCAAGACGACGTCATCCGTAAAGCCAACGATCTCAACTCCTTTAGGCAGCTTCAACGTTAGCGCGCCGTTGTACATCCCGTTTCAAATCGTTGGACCAAGGATGGATTCTAATCGATCTCTGTCCCATGTCTGTCTCGTAGACTAGAACCTGGTTCTGAAAATAACACCTCAGTATCCTGCACAGGTAGTCAGGTCCCTCATTTTATGTAGCGCTTTGGCGATGGCCTCCCAGCTGGCGCTGTTGAACACATTCTTGACGTCGATCGTTATTACGGCGCAATGTCGATCTCCTGTCCACTTCTGTTTGGATGCCTTCTTGGTTCTCTCGACCACTGTCCAAATTGCATCCGCCGTTGTTCTCCCTTTCCGGAATCTGAACTGCCTCTCCGGCAATCCGTGCATTTCCTCAGTCTGTTTAGGATGATTAACTCCAAGAGCTTTCCGAGTGTATCCAGCAGGCATTTAGGTCTATATGATGCTAGCTCCCCCAGCGGTTTTCCTGGTTTTGGCACTAGCTTCTGTATCTTCCACCTGTCAGGGAAGTGACTCTCGTCCAGGCATTTCTGCAGCACCATCCTGAACATGTTCGGGGATTCCACTTTCAACGGGGGCTTTCATCCGGTCTGGGAGCTTTCTTCACCTTCAATCCTTTTGCCACTTACGAGGTCCTCGTTGGTTACTTCAGCATTATCTCCCGGTCCCTCTTCGTACGGTGTAGGTGTCCTGGTCGTTGGGTCGTGTGTAATTTATGGTAATACCAACCGGTGGAACTAACGATTTTAAATTGACTGACACTGGACTAGCCTATCGGTCTCAAGTACATCGATGAACGTACCATAGAGGTAACTCTAAGATCAAAAGGTCTCGAAGAAACGTGCTCAACTTTTTGGCTCAGCTCTAGTACTATCTTCGGTCCCAAGCTAATCGATTCACCTCTCGAAACATAGGAAAATCCACTAACCCCTCATTTTATCTGTCAAACTTTCATAGCGAATCAAAACAAACATAGTGTAGTACTAGCATTTTGACTAGAATGGGGTACGTAATCGATTTGCTTGGGACCAATAGGCTAGTCTAGTAGTGAGCCAATTTAAAATCGTTACTTTCGTATTGATTGTTGAACGTACCCCATTATAGAAGAAATTCTAGTACTACACTATGTTTGTTTTGATTCGCTATGAAAGTTTGACAGATAAAATGAGGGGTCATTGTTTACATTTCGTACGTAGGTCATTTTCACGTGTAGCTCTAGTTACTAGCTCCTCCATCACACGTCAAAACAAAAACGATAAAGTTGAGTGTTTTGTACTGGACTGTGAAATATACGTTTATGTGCAATCGATGGAAAAAGTAGAGCATGATGATGTCCGCCGTGGTGAGTAATATCATAGAGGTAACTCTAAGACCACTGGGTCCCGAAGAAAATCATTATTATTTTTGGCTCACTCAGTACCAGAACAACGGTCCCAAGCAGTCCCAAGCTATTTCACTCACCCCTGCATGTTCTGCATGAATCCACACACCCCTGATGTTATCTGTCAAACTTTCATAGCGAATCAAAACAAACATAGTGTAGTAATAGAATTTCAACTAGAATAGGGTACGTTAATCGTTTGCTTGGGACCAATAGGCTACTAAAGTGGTGAGCCAATTTAAAATCGTTAGTTTCGTATTGATTGTTGGTAATATTTAGTCTAATTTTTACAACACTGAATAAAATTTTAATTAATTGTGAGTTGATATCGATAGCGTTGTTGATATTGAGTTGTCAACTGCTAAGCGCTAAATTTACAGTATACTATTCACCTTCCATGTCACTAGTGGCGCTAGTGTCGGGGAAAATCGTGTCTTGGGAATAATAGAAGAGAGGACCATGTTGTTTATTTATAATATTTGATAGATAACAAGCTGGAAACAAACAAAAAATCCTGAAATATTAAATTATTGATAACAAATGAATATCACTTAATTTATGTATTTATTGAAAATTAAAGTGATCCACAGATTTATGTTTATCCATATTTATACTTCAATCACGATGTTTTTAATCCACCTATTCATTTGCAGTAAGATTAACAAATAGTAAAATAAAAAAAATGGAGAGCTCTCACCAGATCCTGCAGCTGTTTGTGACCATTCAACACTGTTGACTATCATCATCACAAGTGAATAAATAAATTAGTCCATGAGCACTGTCAACCGGATGAAATTGGATGGTCCACCTTTCTTGCTTGAATCAGGATGATATCCATCAAGCCTTGACTGCTTCCTTCACCTTCACTGGTATTTGATGATGGTACACCTTGATTTCTGGTGATTCCTTTCTATCTGAGAGGATTTCCTGTAGTCCTGTATCTGTAATCTTTTTGACGTAGGACTACGTCTTTGATTTCTATATGGGGGTACACTTTGTGAAAACCGAAAATGGAACATGTAACAAATTAAGAAAGATTTTGAACGTTAATAACTCAGCTACCCTTGGTCCAATTTCAATAATTTTATCACCAATCGATCAGAAATATGGCTACGCATTGATAACAATGCTTCCGAATGTTGATTTTCAACAAGAAACTATTAAAAAACTGGTAAATGTTCAGCATTGTCCAAAAGCGTCGAATTAACTAACAAATCCACCAATTACCTACATGCATATGCTGCTTCCCCAGCACAGTCGTCAGAGAGTAGTAAGTAGACGAAACAAGTCAAAGTGGCATTCGCCTCCGATCCTCGGGCGCGTGCGAATAGGGAGGATGGAATTGCGTAATATTTTACACACTCATCGCCATGTTCAGAACCAAACGCAAATTCTTCGAGATAACCACCATCCGTTGTCTGGCTCGCCGTGGCGGTGTCTGACGTATCTCCGGTTTGATTTACGAGGTGTGCTGAAGGTGTTCCTGAAAAATGAGATCTGTGATGCTGTCACCTACACTAAACACGCCAAGCGTAAGCGGCCATGGATGTCATCTACGTTTTTGAAGTGACAGAGACGCACTCTGTTTGGTTTCAGAGGTTAAATCATCACCAACATTGGAAACAAAACGGCTCTTTTCAGGGCCACCAAGCTTATTACAGTAAAGAGTAGGAATAGAATTCATCTGCCTGTTTGTCCATATTCAGAACCACCGACCACACAAAATGCTCATGTGATCAAACTGGAAGCAGGGATACAAATTGTTTTGATCAACCTTGATCAACTTTGAATCGCCACGGCCGGATATTTTCGATGGAAGAAGCAACAATCTAGCATCTAATTCGACGAAGACGGCAGGAAACATTTCTGGATCAACAATAGAATAGGGCCCATCAGCATTTGTAAATAAACCGTTCCAAAGCCTCACAAATCGAAGGCCGCTCACACAAACCAACACCAACATCTTGTAGGTAGAAGTTTCCCCTATCCGATGATGGTGTTGGTTTGTGTGGGTGGTCTTCGCTTTGTGAGTAAAGGGCTTTGGAACGGTTTGTTTACAAATGCTGATGGGCTCTTTTCTATTGTCGATCCAGATTTGTGAAGCCGAGTTATTTACGAAAGAGAGTGTCGATGAAGAGAATCGATCAATGTAGATAGGACCTATTGAAAAGTGACGCGAGATTTGTTTTCCGTACTGAGCTCCAATGCTACCGACGCCAGGGAGGCAGCTCCCAGAGATCTTATGCCTTAGAACATGCCGATGGCGCTGACTGATTTTGGACCCAGGCCTGCTGGGGTGAGAGGTAATCACGCTAACCACCGGCGCCGATATCTATCACGGCGAATGAGAACGACCCAAATTTGAGTTTAGTTATCTCAGAAATAAGTGCAGGAACTCAGCGATGAGTAAATATTCCTCATGTTTTCCCAGGTTTTTCCAAGATTTTCCAGGGAAAAATTCCCGAATTTGAGAAAAGTAAATATTGGATTCACTCAGTCTATTGGTACTACTCCGAGACTGAATAAAATGTTCGTCAATTTCCTCATTTTCTGGCAGATTTTTTAGGTTTTCCACAGGAAATCATGAGACAAATTTACTCATCGCTGAGTTCCTACAGTTTTGGCGATTATGAGTGAACTAAACTCAAATTTGGGGCGTTCTCATTCGCCGTGTACGCAAAAAGAAAATAGCCAGTGTCGCTACTTGATAGCAAACTACTCATAATGGGAGGAGTCTTTGTAGCTTTTATACCACTTGGTTGCACATCATTCTGCTTTAACCCAAAAAGATATAAAGCAGCGCTGCTGTCTGGTATCAGCTCATTTTCGCTTTGGACGGCGTGGTGAGTAATAGCAGCAGTAGGTCGTGGCAAAGGAGGTGCCAATCGTCATAGCAAATTCTTCGAGATTACCACCATCCATCGTCTGGCTCGCCGTCGCAGTGTCTGACGTATCTCCGGTCTGATCTACGAGGTGTGCTGAAGGTGTTCGTGGAAAATGAGGTCCGTGATGCTGTCACCTACACTAAACACGCCAAGCGTAAGTGGCCATGGATGTCCTCTTCAATAAAACGGCCCTTTTCAGGGCCATCAAGCTTACATCAGTAAAGAGTTGGAATAGAATTTATCTATGCTTGTTTGTCCATATTCAGAACCACAAGCCCCCAACGACCACACAAACTTGGAAGCAGGGGTGCAAGTGATTTTGATTGATTCTCGTAATCAACTTTCTTTTTGAAAAAGATTACTACAAATTTGGATCGCCTACAATTCAAAACCGGAAAGAGTT